ATACAACACCGCTATTTTTTCCATATAAATCATATTCATTGGCTAATATTGATGAGCACATAAATCTCCCGTCATTTTTAAGTCCAAGTCAATAGATATACTGCATGGGCTCTCTCATGTGGGATGGTCTGTTGTTGATAAAAAATACAACACCATGATTTTTTATTCAAAAATCACTGTTGTTGGCTAATATTGATGACAACATAAATCTCTAGTCAATTATAAGTCCAAGTCAATGGAGATAATGCGTGCGCGGTGTCTAGTCTGTGGGCCTAAGTCTTGTGACTCGGTCTGTCTTTGATAAAAAATACAACACAACTATTTTTGCCATAAAAATCATTTTTGTTAACTAATATTGATGGGCACATAAATCTCCAGTCATTTATAAGTCCAAGTCAATAGACATACTGCGTGAGCTGAGTCTAGTCTGTGAGCCTTAGTCATGTCACTCGGTCTGTCTTTGATAAAAAATATAACACAACTATTTTTTCTATAAACATCATTTTTGTTGGTTAATATTGATGGGCACATAAATCTCCAGTCATTTATAAGTCCAAGTCAATAGACATACTGCATGAGCTGAGTCTAGTCTGTGAGCCTAAGTCCTGTGACTAGATCTGTCTTTGATAAAAAATACAACACAACTATTTATGCCGTAAAAATCATTTTTGTTAACTAATATTGATGGGCACATTAATCTCGAGGCATTTATAAATCCGATTCAGTAGATGTAGGAGAAGAAGATTCATTGATAACAAATAATTCCACACCTTGCTATTGGCAATAAAAATCATTTGCGCTTACGAATATTGATGAGCACATAATTTTCCATGCATCTTTGGACTACTCCGCCCAACCAAAATTCCCGTTATGGCGTTTAATGGGTTTCGACGCTTTTCTCCCCTCATTTTCCACTACCCCAGCAAAGCAAAAAATTTTTGGATACCAAAAAAAAAGCACATAAATAGCACATAATTTAGGTGTTTTCAAAATGGCCGCCAAATCACTCGATTGCGCTAAATTTACGGAGGTGTTAGTCAAGTCGGGTGACTATTGAAACTTCAGAAATACGGTTCTCTCCCTCGATTTTTACTAAAAATCGACAATTAGTCGGTGATTTAATATTTTTCTGAAAAAAAAACAGGAAATAAATAGAATTTAGAAAAAAACCCGTAATTTGTATTTTTTTCAGTATTGCGCAGGTAAAAAATGAAAGTTCACTTCGCGGTATTCAATAGAAAAATATGAAATAAAAGGTGACAATTTTTGTCAAAGTTGTACCTCCATTTAATCATTTTACGATGAATTTTCGAGGAGTGAATCATTTTTCTCTATCGAAATTACTGCAATAAATATAACTAAAAAAATGGTATATGAACGTTGACATGTTTCTGATTTTTCAGATTCTTAGAACATTTTTTGACTACTAAAAAATATGACATTAGAAAAATTTGGTTTTTTCCTATAAATATGGCTGAAATGCAAATAAAAATCTGAAAACTTGATTGAAGGCATATTCTATCATGATAAACAACAGAAGAAATTGACGATTCAAAATTCGTTGGGAGCATTTTCACCATACTTATTCCGCTAGACCCTCTTCTAGAAAACCCGATGATGTTCTCGAATTTTCTAGAAAACCGTAGAATTTTTACTAATTCCGATAGATGGCACTAGTTGTTAATGGCCACCTCAACGAATTACCCCCAGCATGAAATTGAAGACGTTTGCACGGGAACAGTACAGAATTATTCGACACCCGCGGCAAATATGTGCGCAATTTACGTGGCTAGATTTAGTCAATGAAATGCATACGAAATTAAAGGAAGTTTTGCAATAAAAATGGGTCATCTTCAACGAAGAGACTTCAATCGAGTAAAACATTGTGGTGGAAAGATTTTTCTTGGGTACTTACCAACTTGTTCCCGAGTGTGATCAGTAGCGCTGAGGGTCTCTCTCATAGACATTGACATAAGTAGTTCTTGCGTGAGTTTTTGTTTTCCAAAGGCAACAGCGCCACTACTGACCATAATGCATTCACGGCCTTCTATTTGATGTTCAGCCACTTGTTCAACGATTGATGCTAACCGTCCTAGGGCAATCCCTTGACCATCTTCACGGGTTATAACCGCTGAACCAAGCTTGACGACCAACCGACGTGCATATTTTAACTGGCTACGTTCTGTAAATTGTGCACGTCGCGGTTTGTCTGTTGTCTGCACCTGACGACGAGGATCCATTCTGTAACCCTGAAATACTCATTTGAAAGAGGTCATAATAAGCTACATATTCAACTTCGTTTATCAGATTTTCTATAAGGATAAGGATGAAATATGAAAATGTAGCTTCGAGAAGAAATTAGAGGTTTTGTGGAGAGTTGCATCCAGTCAAATAATGAGTATTCTGCATTATTTGAGAAAAAACTCCATGGAAATGGTGGAATATCTAACGACGTCTCTGCACAAACAATTCCATTCGCAGTTATCCAGACAATAGTGAGCTTCGTAATGAGAAAGATCCAAATTGTTCTGTAACCGAAAATATTTTACTCGGTCATCTCGCTCTATGTAGATGGAATTGAAAGTTGACACCTAAGTTCAAAGATTGAAATTAAGTTTAAATTTTATATACTACTTCAACAAATGAAATAGACTAAACACAATCATTTCATTTTTGCCAACGTTTCGGAACCACAAGGTGTCCCTCATCAGGGCCATCATTATTCTGCATGAAGAAAAAACAAAATCAATACCAATTCTATTGCGCAAATATTTCAATTACATTCCAAAAAATAATATCATAAAGTGCTCCCAGAAATGGTAAATACCTTCAAAATCCATCAGTTATTCATGGATTATGACAGAATTGCAGTACCAAAAAAGCAATAAAAACAGATTAAACCTTTGAAATTTCTCAAGAAATTAGCAAAAATTGTCAAGATAATCAAATCAAAACAAACCATAGTCAGGCTGTCACAAATGAAGAAACCGCTAGTAACTTAAATTCTCCCAACAACCGCACAAAAACAACCCCAGCCATTTCCGACTGGTTACTCCCAAGTTTCTAGTTACCCAACAAGTAATGCTCATCCTCTCACTATTCAACTCTCATTAATAATTTTTGTTGGCAACGCAAAAACAAAATTTCGCAATCTTAAAACACTTAAATAATTCACATTGATAATTCATAGCGCGTATGGAAGGAATCATCACGGTCTGTCTACATAATACTTAATGGGATTTAATAAGAAAAGGTCCATTAAGTTCTTATCAAGTTCCATTAAGTATTATCTAAAAGGACCCAGGTGATTCCTTCCATACGCGCTATGATTTATGAAGGTGAGTTATTTAAGTGTTTTAAGATTGCGAAATTTTGTTTTTACTTTGCCAACAAAAATTATGAATGAGAGTTGAATAGTGAGAGGATGAGCATTACTTGTTGGGTAACTAGAAATTAGGGAGTAACTAGTCGGAAATGGCTGGGGTTTTTGTTGTGTGGTTGCTGGGAGAATCTAAGTTAGTAACGGTCTCTTCATTTGTGGCAGCCTGACTGTAGTTAATTTGATTTGATTATCTTGAAAATTTTTGATAATTTCCTGAGAAATTTCAAAGGCTTAATCTGTTGACTGACTCATAATATTTTTTTCACGGTGTGATTTTGGCTTGATAACTAGAGTTTGGCATTTTTTTATTTGCGTACACATGTGATGCTCATTTTCATTCTCCCACTTTTTAGGGTATCAAGAAAAAAAAAGAATAATTTTAATATGCAAAAAACTACGCAAAGGCAGCTGAAATATTATCAAGCTCAGCTATGAGCAAATGCTGTGTTGGTTCAACTGTTGACACTATTCTACAGACAAACTGACTAATTTGTTTCCTTCGTAGCGGCCCGCACTTTACCTAATCCTCAAACACATCCATGTCTCCTACCTCCGAAAACCAAGGGAATGGACTGGTCAGCCTGACTGTACACACGACGCGCCCGCTTTTTGATCGACGGACCATCGTAACATTCTAGCTCCTTACCCTTAGTGTCACTGACATTTGGGCTACGTTTCACTATCATTCTGCAAAGTTTTCCAATTTTAAATTCATATTCATATCGTCAATTCATTGACTTCTCTGTATATAAAAATTGAACTTGGAGCGGAGCCAGTTGAAATGGTGAAGTATTAAATTGAAATAAATTCGTGAATTTCACAATTTTATATATAAACTTTGGATCTAGCGTTGAAATCGGTTGGATTTTCATATGTAACTTGTTTTTGAACAATGATTATAGTTCTATACTGTTTTCATTTCACTACATGCATGCTCAAATTTTCCAAAACTTATTTCTTTATTGTACGAAGACTCGAGTAAATTAGATTATGTTATTGCGAAAAACGGGAAGAGTGTAGCAAATCAAATAAATTTTTCCACATGAACAATTTCAGACTTTGTTACTCGTTCCATCGATAAAAAAGCGGGTGCGCCGTTTGTACAGTCAGGCTGACCAGTCTGTTCCCTTGGTTTTCGGAGTTGGGAGACATGGATGTGTGTGAGGATTAGGTAAAGTGGGGGCCGCTACGAAGGGAACGGACTAATCAGTTTGTCTGTAGAACAGTGTCAGCAGTTGAACCAGCACAGCATTTGCTTACAGCTTAACTTGATAATATTTCAGCTATATTTGAGTAGTTTTTTGCATATTAAAATTGTTCTTTTTTTTCTTTTCTTGAACATTCTTTTAAATGTTTTTCGCATTTTGAGTATACGCATTTGATTGTAGCTCAGTACGCTGATATTTCAGTTGATTTTTGCAGGTTAGTTTTTCTTTTCCGGAACATTTTTAAAAATATTTTCTACGTTTTGCGCATACACATGGCGCATTCTTTTTTATTTTTGACAATTTCCTCAATTCTCATTTCGACCAATCAGAGTGCAGTATTCGGGGTCACGTGACGCGTTTCACCCTGATAATTTCCCCGGCTGCAGGGAAATTATCAGAGTGATAATTTCTCTTGTAGACTGTCAATTGTTTTCTACGAATTTGACCGATATTCCTTACATTTTGGTGAAATATGTCCCGTAATCCCGAACACTGCACCCTGATCGGCCAAAATTAGAATTGAAGAAATTGTCCTCCGAATACCCCCCGACCATCAAAATTCATCGGCTATTTCCCTCAAGTTTTCCTGCATATCCATGATCGGGATCAGTTTTGCAGTAAAATCTCTCGCGCTGCAGGCTCGGGATATTAGTCTGCAAAACTGACCCTCTCGTTTCTATGCAACAAAACATTCGGGAACTATCTGATAATTTTGAAGGTCTTGGGGTATTATAGCTGATAATTTTTAGGCCTATGTCATTTCCTTTTGCGTCCAACCCTTTTCTTACCATTCTTGTCGTTGTATTTCTCCAAGTGCAAAATGTACTTGGAGAAAATCTAAATGTATACATCTTATGACCCAGTTGACCTTCGAGATTTTTTAATTTCATTCTCGTTGACCATCATCCAATCCAATTTATTGAATCTCAACATATTGACATATTTATGAGTAATTCTGTTGGAGGAATTATTTAAAATCGCGCTCATAACTTGATAAGTTGTACCATTAATGAGAATTTTACTTGACGGAACCGATGAAATTCTAACGTAGTTTTCATTATTCAATAATTGAAGCATAAATACATCAGACAGAAGATATCTCTACTTTAGTAAAAAGTTCCTTCATATCCCTACACTGATTACAAAAAACCGTTATCTCTTCCCATAGTGAACAGTTTAGAAAACAGTTCTTCAAAATTCATATGTTTCTCAAAAGTTTGAAGAGTACAAAGGAAAATATATTCTCCTGTTTCAAATGAAAAAGTGTACGTACATGTCGAACATGTATTCGAAATTTGGAGTTTGTGTTCTATGAGTCCCTTCAAATTGATATCTTTCGAGCATAAGATCTCGATGAAAGAAACTGGATCATAAGCATCAACTGAATCAAAAGGACTACCGGCGAATTAAAACTCAATGAAATTGAGACCAGTTAGCATCGCCCATGCTGTTGCTACCTGATCAGCAAAAATTCAAGCGTAGCACCACACAATTTAAGGGGTCAACGCTCATTTCCACAATCAAAATCAAAATCCAAGCCAGTCGTTTATCGGTCCTTGTCTCGAGTGGTCGAGTCTTAAAGGGGGCTTCTCTTCCTTCAACAGAAATCCAAATTTCTTACTGATCACGAAATTATTGAACTACTGGTGGAAAATGTTCACAAAATCGATTTACCTTCGCGTTTCTTCCCATATAGTAATTCGCTTAAGTCGATACTATGCGTGGTAACCTATCGAATTAATAGTAGATAGCTACAGGGCGTGTTTGCGTAGGGATACTGCATTCTTAAATCGAGAATAGTGTCTTTTTTTGCATATAAGGGACCTTCAATATTTTATTTCGCCTTTCATACCGGCCCATTAATTTATTTCTCTTCAATTCTACACTGTAATGAGATTTTCTCATTACGGGTTGAAATCCCCTTAAAAACATGTGAACTCTTAACTTAGTGAAGAGAGACAATTAGTGACATCTAGAGGCGCCTGAGGAAAGCCGGGACTAGATGAACTGAGCGACAAACCGATGAAAGATCTAAGGCATAGCGGTGATGGGTGAAACCGCGACCCCTGGAGGTCTGGAAGACGTTACTAGGCTATCGCTATTTTGGAATTCGCCCAGCATGTGCTAAGGGAAAAGGGGCCGACGTATAGGCTGTCCAACTGGGCGATTCCATAGGCAATGTCAGAGTAGAGTAGGGACCAACGGCCAGGTGAGAGGACTGGTGCCCCCGGGATCCCGTCGGGTTGATTGGTGGGGATAGGGTAAAGGAATGACCTATCGTCGCTGAGATATCCAGACTAGGAGGAGAAGGCCCTAATAAGATTCTGAGTTAGTCGAACGCGGACGCTCGAGCGGGGAAGTCGGAAGGATTTCTCCGAGATATACTGTGGTGTTGGCTTGAAAGATGGCCACGGGAATGGTGGGCGAATCGCTCAGCGCAGCCAGGTGCATAACTGATGGTAGCGAGCGTNCGCTCAGCGAAGCCAGGTGCATAACTGATGGTAGCGAACGTAGGGGGATGCTCCTGCATCCCCCACCAACGGGAAAAAGAGTTATTTCGGAATTCTTAGTGACGACTTTGTTGTTTCCGGTGTTATCCAGCTCGGCGAAACAAATGACGAGCGCATGGGCCCGTGGGTCTGGAGTAGAGATCGTCCTCCTGTCGACCTGACCATGTGCC